TTTTTTCTAAGCTCTATACTAAACATTAAATCTGTTACGAAAAAAGAACTAAACAAAATGAACACAAAACGATCAGCTTTAAAAAAGGACTCGTAACTGGAAAAACCGAATGAAAAGAAAAATGTTAACAAAAAATATTTTTCACACCCAACCCAGTTCTGCGGAATCAGAATCAACGTTGAGTTTAAGCAAGCGAATGAGCCAATTGGAGTAAAGTGCCATGCAGATTTAAATTTTTCCCACTTGTGACGAATGCAGCTATCGATTTTTTTTTTGCATGCTAGTTCACATTCGTGTCAGTCAGCTGTTAGCTCTCACGCTGGCCAATAGAATCTCCCTGCCTATTCGTGGCAGCCAGCTATTGGCTCTCACTCTGGCCAGTAGAAAATGGCCGCAAACTACATGAAAAGTGCCGAAGAAGCATGAAAAAATCGATTATTTCCACCATCGATGGGAGTTGGGAAATACAAGGTCGGTCTTGGCCTTTCCACTAACTTGGAACATGTGCATGTAAATTTTGGTGCAAATCCGTGGAAAACTGCGGTCGTGCATTCGTTACATACACACACACATATCCTGCCTTTTATAGATTGAGATGATATATCCTAGGATAAGATATACGATAACATGCAATGGTTTATGCTGAGATATGAATAAAGGGATTAAATAAGAGATCAGTAATTAGGATATGATAAGGTGAAATCATTGGAAAGATAAAAATGAGGGGAAAGTGAGAAAAAAATAAGGAAATGTAAATTAAAATAAAAAAAGGAGAGAAAAGATAGGGAAAATGAAGAGAACAGACACAAATGTAAATGAGATGCAACAAAGGCAGTGAGTTTGAAACAGACAATGAGCGATAAAGAATATGGGGAATAAACATGAGGTGGTAGCAAGAGAAAAGAAGACAATATGATGGTTGATTTTATATTACACATTTCCGGGATTACATAGATAGATAGATAGATAGATAGATAGATAGATAGATAGATAGATAGATAATAGAAAGAAAATAAATTGACATATATGTATATATATATATGTGGTGTGTGTATATATATAGAGAGAGATAGCTAGATAGTGAATAGATAGATAGATAGATAGATAGATAGATAGATAGATAGATAGATAGAAAATAAATGAACATAGATAGAAAGAAAATAAATGATCATAGATAGATAGATAGAGAAAGAGATAGAACATAAATGGACATATATATATATATATATATATATATATATATATATATAGATAGATAGATAGATAGATAGATAGATAGATAGATAGATAGATAATGAACTGTCCGAGATAGATATGTAGATAGATAAAGGTGGAAAGAAAATTAAATGGACATGATCGATAAATTGTAATATATATATATGTGTGTTTGTATGTGTGTGTGTGTGTGTGTGTGTGTGTGTGTGTGTGTGTGTGTAAACTACAGTAGAGAGCAACGATACAACACACCGCCCCTACCCCACATTTGTATTTATATTGCTCCTTACCTTATGCCTTATAATTTTTAATTACCACTGCCCCCGTTTTTTTTGCACGTCATTTTACACAATACCTACACGTCTTTTTTTTAACGGAATTATATACCATATAGCTTTATGTCATATATCATAATTTTTTCTAAATGTCTACCTACTATCACTCTATATTTTGAATGTATACCGAAACATTATATTAAATTTATAATAATTGTGAACTTTGAATGTGCATATAATATTGTATTCACTCCATGATACTAGAATATTTTTTTTAAAAAGCCGGATTAAATAGTTCATTTATTATTTGTGCCTGATGAATTGGGTCACCATAACACTCTTTCACTATAAATATAGATATATGTGTATATATTAATATATACTTCATACATCTGTTTAACTACATTGAGCAGGGTTTTGTTTACATCTTAAATTAAATAAATACTTATTTGTTCATCTGTATATATACGTTATCATACGCATATATAGTTGCTAATATCTCAGTTTATGTCCTCACTTATATATATATATATATATATATATATATATATATATATATATAGAGAGAGAGAGAGAGAGACAGACAGACAGACAGACAGAGAGAGAGAGGGGGGAGGGGTAGATAGACTGATAGATAGATAGATATGAGTTATGACGTATCTTTAGGTTTTACATTCACTTTGAAAAGCACACATGAAATAAATCAAATTAATTCGATGAGACGCCTTTTTCCCCGCCCCAACAAAAATAAGTCCGAATAAGAAATTTTTTAATATAGGATGTCCATAAAGTGCGTGTGCACTTTAAAAATTTATAACTTTATTTGTATTTGCGATAGAAATAATCGGTAAAAAATGTCATAAAGTTTAATGCACCTAGTTTTAAGTATAGCTACAATAACTCGTGTGATTTCAAGCATTACTGTAAACCACTTGGCAAATATTTTCCGTGAACTGCAAAATCTTATTACCCTTTGCATTACTAAAGATGGAGGACATGTGGAAACTTAA